TGAACATTACTTAGCAACTTTTATCAGCTTTTTACTGTAAAATCTAGCATGCATATAGAAGTTGTATAAAATATAAATACATAGTTATTAAATTATTATAAAGTGGACACCCACTCTAACTCCTTTTTACCTGTGTGGGATATGCAGAAGTGGCCCAGAGCCTGTGGGTCCCGTCTTCTTGGTCCGTTCCTCCCAACCTTTGGTAGGTCTGTAAAGCCTAGAGGAATCTCTACTAACGTTGTTTTCAACCTGTAATCAGAATGAAAATGAGTGCCAGTTACTTTATATGAACTATGAAGTTTGGACTAGTGAGTGAGATCTTTAGTAACAACAGCAAGCAGTTATAAGAAACATCCATGACATTCGCTAAACAGAAATAAAACTGTTAACCTTTTCAGCAAACTTCTGGTTGTGTTCCGAGAGCTAACCTAAAATCTGGACTCCGTCAATCTATTAATAAACTGTTAATTTAGCTTCTTTTTTTCTGGTTCAATTACTTTATTCTGCTTCCACTGTTGTTCTATTTTTTGTTTCTATTCTGAGGGAAATGTAATGCCGCCAAGTGTGATAGTGGGACAGCCAGACAATAAATTTAGGATAAATAACCACCAGAAGTCCTTCGTTCCTTCCGTTCCCATGAGAGTCACCAACATCTGTAGTCCGTGTACTCCCAGGGAGATTAAGCAATGCTCCTAGCTGCCACAGGTCTAAAACAGAGGCATATACAGAAAAAAAAATGAAAAACAGAATGAAGAGTAGGAAGAGAAAATTAATTCAGGGTAAAAGAAAATAAGGTGCTTAGAATGTGAAATGGCAGAATTCCAACAATAGTTGCTTAAGTTGTACTAAACGGTGCTTTGTAATATGTAAATCCGTTAAGTACGAAGTCTAGAGGAAGTGATACAGAAATAGAGTTCTGGATATAAAGAAAATGGATTTTATGCTTGTCTCCTTACAAATCAAGGAGTTAGGATAGTAACAATAAAAATAAATCTTAGCACACAGCACCTTTTCTTTTAATTTTGCCAGTTTCCTTTGTTTTTCTGCCTTTTCGTCTTCCTTTAACTGTCGATCTAGAATTTTCAATTCGAGTTTATGTAAATCCTAAAAAAATACACCAACAAAAGAAGAGTAACATTAAGAAAATAAAATTCAGTGGAATTTGTTTCAAAGGTCAGTTGCTTGCAAGTAAAATTAAATTACCCTAAATATCAAGACTTCAATATTAACCTTTTCCAACAAAGGCTAAGAGCTGTATTTATCCTGAATATAAATGTAACACATGCACATCCTTTCTGAATCACTTTCTTTAGCTATCTCTTGTTTTATTTTATAGTTCAATCTAAAACTCCTTTTCTTTTAATAGTTGAGCTAAGCCCATTTTCACTTATTGATACAGGTATGTCTGGTTTTAGATCTCTCACATATTTTGTTTTACATGATTTCTTTTTTTTCTTGGTCTTTTATTGTGCGGACTCCTCGCCTTCTTTGGTGGGCGGTGGGGAGAATGCATGGGATCTTTTGTTATTTAGGAAGACTTACATATGGACTAAGGGAAATTCCATTAATGTGTTTTTGTCTATTATTTTTCTTTATATTTCCCTTATTTTTTGCTTTATGACAGTTGCTTATATGTCTTTTGATGCATATAACAATTCATAAGAATTATTTCATAACAGTTATATCTCATTTTTTTAAAAAGATTTTATTTATGTATTTGACAGAGAGAGAGTGCACAAGCAGGTGGAGTGGCAGGCAGAGGGAGAAGCAGGCTCCCTGCTGAGCAGAAAGCCTGACTGGGGGCTTGATTCCAGGACCCTAGGATCATTACCTGAGTCGAAGGCAGACACTTAACTGACTGAGCCACCCAGACGCCCCTAGTTCTATCTCATTTGGACGCTTTTTCATTTTAAAGTATCCTTCCTGGGGTGCCTGGGCGGTAGAGTTGGTTAAGTGCCCGACTCCTGGTTTCAGGTCATGATCTCAGGGCCATGAGACTGAGCCCTGCACTGGGCTCCATGCTCAGCAGGGAGTCTGCTGGAAATTCTCTCTCTCTGCCCGCTCCCCCACCATGCGTGCATGCACACGCCCCCAACCCTCTCTCTCTAATAAATAAATCTTGAAAAAACAGCCTTCCTTATCTTTTTAAATACTTTTTGGACTCAATTCCACTTTAATAGTAAAACTGTAAACTCTTTCTTCTATTAGCATTTTTCTTGTATATGTTTTTTTAAGCTCCCCTATTATCCCCTACCTCTCTGCAGTAACCTTGATTCCCTTAAGTCCATATTGAGTTTCTATACTGTACCAGACCCTAGGGTACAAGGATGAACAAAAAGGACAAACCCTCTGCTCTCATGGAGCTTTCATGGTGGTGGGGAGATGGAAAAGTGAACAAGTAAGCAAATCACCTGTGGGGTAGGGACCGGCGGTCTGGCAGAGAAGACAGGACAAGCGTGGCCCGGCCCATGGCTACCTTTCCAGCCTCGTCCCCTGCTGCTTTCCAGCTCCTGTGTGGTGCCCTGACATTCCTGCAGTTCTTACAGGTTTCCCCCCAAACCACACCGTTACCCTCCTGCGAGCTGCCCTTCATGCTCTTCCCTCTGCCAGGAAGGATCCACCCCCCCCACCTCTCTTCTCCAAGCCTCCACCCCAGCATCACCTTTGGTCTGCCACCCGCAGCCCTGGAAGGCTTCCCTCACTGCCTGCCCACCTCCTGAAGTCCCAGGCCCACCACCTCCATCACCCCACTTCTGCGTGGTCTCCCGTTTTCGCTGACCTCAGTCTGGAGGCAACACCCCTACGGGGGGCCCTGAAGGCTACCCAGGAACCATTATTGACTCACTCGTTCCTGAAACCTGGAGATCTCCTCGGCAGCGGTTTTCCTCCTTTCGGCCTTTTCTGCCTTTTCCCTCATCTCCTTTTCATGCCTCAGAAATGCTTCCTGCTCTTTCTTCTGCTGGGCGTAACTCTCCAGGAGCACTTTTAGTTTAAACTGGCGACGGCGCTCTTTCTGCTGATGCTTCTCTTTCTCTGCTTCTTCTTTCACCTGGGAGGCACGCCTCATTGATCTTTCGAGACTTTTCTGCTTCTTCCACGCTTCCACTGCCAGTTTCTGCTTCTTTCTTTGCTCCTCTTCTCGCTTCTGATTATCTTCTTTTTTATTGTGCAGGAGCAGAGAGATGTTCTCTGCCTTTTCCTTCAACTTGAAAATTTCCTCCTTCTTTTGCAGCTTTTTGGTTTTCCAGTTCTGAATAGACTAAATGATTAAAAAAAAAAAAAAGGACAGCAAGAGAAAAACATTTTTAATAACCAAGAGCACTCGAAAAGGCAATCTCAAATCCATCTTTCTAGAAAGAATATTGTTTGCAGGATGCTGGTTGCTTTGGTTTTAAAGCATTTTTTTTTCCTAAACCAATGCAATTTTTTTCCTACTTCATTTTTTTTTTAAATAATGGATCTTTTATTTATTTGTTTGAAGATTTTATTTATTTATTTGACAGAGAGAGAGAGACAGCGAGAGAGGAAACACAAGCAGGGAGCGTGGGAGAGGGAGAAGCAGACTCCCCATGGAGCAGGGAGCCCGACACGGGGCTCGATCCCAGGACTCTGGGATCATGACCTGAGCCGAAGGCAGACGCCCAACGACGGAGCCACTGAGGCGCCCCAATGATGTACCTTTTGGTCTTCTTCTTCCTCTCAATCCCCAGGCTCACAAAGACTGTACCTCATCAAGTGGCCTACTCTCCTTTACCCCCTTCATTTGCGTTCATAGGGAACATCTCTTTCTTCTGATTATCTCACTCTGCTTCCAAATCCTCTGTCTAGGCTTAGAATACTTTGAGTGACTTTTTCTTTGTCAAATATCAGAAGAGGAATTACAGGTGGGCTGCTTGAGAGCATGGGTCTGAAGCCAGCCGTCTGGGACCAAATCCTGGCTCTGCCGTTTAGTAGGTGTGCTCTTGCATGAGTCACGAAGCTTCTCTGACCTCATTTTGCTTATCTGTAAAGGCACTGGGTAGTACCTCTCAAACAGCGTTGTTGTGAAGATTCAGTGAGTCAGTGCCTGGCACATACTGATTCACGAGTGTGAAAAAAAAGGTAAAATTGCTATATTGCATTTATGGGTATATAAATATTATTTAAAATTCTAGCAGCCTGCTAGCAGCCATAAAGGATACATCTATTGAATGACTTTCCCCTCCAGTCAGGACACTGTTTCGTCATCTTTTCTCATGGTGTATCATACATTCATGAGATAAATCCCTGTGGTACGTGTACTATATGCAAGGTGGTAGGAGCCACAGATAATTAAAACAGTACCAAGTGCCATCTAGAACAGAGTCTCTCAAAGTGCAGGTCCACAAAAATATCAGCAATTCACGCCAGAATGTAAATCAGTGTACTACTTCCTTCAATGAGAAAGTTTTCTACAGAAAAAAAAAAAAAGTGAACTTAACTAAACAGTGTGCTTATTGAGTAGCTGATTCTGGTGTAGTCGATTTATCCTACTGGAAACCAGCAACAGCTTACAAACTAACATCTAGTCCATGGACCAAGTTTGAGTAGCACAGCTCCAGGTGAGATAAGGTACATGCATAAACACTAGCACATATATGTGCACTAGCATGTCAAAGACGACATGTAAACAAGGAGCACTTGGGTGGCTCAGTTGCTTAAGTGTCCGATTCTTGACTTTGGCTCCGGTCATGATCTCAGGGTCATGGGATCGAGGCCGGGTTTGGGCTCAGTGCTGGGTATGGAGACTGCTTGAGATTCTCTCTCTCCCTCTCCCTCTGCCCTCCCTCTGCCCCCTGCTCACACTCACTCTATCTCAAAAAAAAAAGAGGTATACACGAGGTGTCTGTGAATTCTGCAGGGACTTCCTGTGTCTCAGTGGGCAAGCAGGAAGTAGCATCTGACCTGGGCAGATTTTGATGGGCTGGCACTGGAGGGGGGGAAGAAAGAATGGAGGCTCCAGAAAGACAGAACAAGACAAGCAAGGGTGCTCGGGCCAGAAAGTTCAGAGCACGTCTGAAAATCATTATCTTCAGTTGGGCAAAACACAGGACATGTTAAGGGAAGTGGGAGATAAAAATGGAAAATCACCTACTCATCACCTTTTTTTTTTTAAAGATTTTATTTTTAAGTAATCTCCAGACCCAACGTGAGGTTCGAACTCCCAACCCTGAGATGAAGAGTCGCACGCTCCACTTACTAGCCAGCCAGGCACCTTCCTACTCATCTTAAACTCAGTAGAGTTAAAACTACGTTCCTGAGGCTCTCCCCCAAAATTCCCTCTTCTCCAACATGTCCTACTTCAGTAAACAGCCCCTCAACCTGACACCCCACCTACCTCCCTCCTACATTCAATCAGGTGTCAAACAACAGGAAACAGACTGAGAAGAAGAGTGAGCTAGAATCCAGGTGGTTCACCTTTATTACAAGAAGCACTGTGCCTGCTTTCCCTAGAGCGGTGGCTCTCAAACTTGAGCTCGTAACGGAATAACCCAGTGGCCTTGTGAACACATAGATTGCTCCCCACACCCAGAGTTCAGATTAGGTCTGGGGCTGGGGCCCAGAAAGTTCTAACAAGTCCTAGTGATGCTGACTTTGCTGGTCCAGGGACCCCATGTTTTCAGTATCCTGGGGAAAAAAGCCCAAATAATTCTAAACAGCTCATTATTTTGAATTTTTAAAAATGACTTGTTTCGAGGTGCTTGCGTGGCTCGGTCGGTTAAGCGTCTGATTCTTGATTTTGGCTCAGGTCACGGTCTCAGGGTCATGAGACTGAGCCCGGTGATGGGCTTCGTGCTGGATGTGGAGCCTGCTTAAGATCCTCCCTCTCCCTCTGCCCCTCCTGCCCTCCCCACCCCCTCCATGACTGCACATTTGCACACTCTCTCTAAAAAACAAAAAAAACTTATTTAAAAAAATTTTCTTAGAGTCTCAAATGTCAATTTTCCTACATTCAACTTATTTTGAAGGGAAAAAAAAACAACAAATGAACCCTAGTTATTTTCTCTAAAATTTTAAATTAAATGTGCAATCGACATTTCTTTAATGCTCCTTAGGTACGTCATCTGTTGAACAATCATACTTTTGCTGTCAAACCAAGCTAGCTGATGTTTATTATAGTGGAAGTCTACAAAAAAGGGACTCAGACTCAGACTATCTAAACCCATGGTACTCAACCAGGGGCAATTCTTGCCATCCAGGCGGCACTGGGTAATGTATGGAGACATTGTTGATGATCACAACTTAAGGGAGTGTTACTGGCATTTAGAGGGTTGAGGCTAGGGATGCTGCTAACCATCTACAATGTACAGGACAGCAAAGAAGTCTCCAGCCCAAACAGTTCACGGTGCCAAGGTTGAGAAGTCCTGATTTAAATCAATGCCAGAGTAATATTATTGTGAAAATGGAACCTGTTAGGTATTGCTACCAGTAAGAGTTACTCTTTCCTCTGGGGTAGTCAACATCTTGAGTCTTTTAAAATAAACAATGAGGCGTAAGCTCCAAAACTCCAAGAAACATTTAAGAATCAAAGAGTCTTTCCCTACTTCCTTTTTATTTTCTCTTGAAAACAATCAGGCCTTGGTGGTAAGATGACTTTTACCAAAAACCTAAGTAGTTCTGGATTTCCCACATTTCAGGCGGACACAGGGGGGTTTTTGCCCACCATCAGAAGTTTTCTGGCCCGTTGTATTTCTTAGGGTAGAAATGTTTGGCCTTGAAGAAGTTCAACTGGTGCTCCCTTAGCTGGGTAAGATTACTTAACTTCTCACTGCTTCAATTTCTCTTCTATAGGACAGTGGGGTGGGGGACTATAAACACACTTCACGAGTGATTGTAAAGTTAATGATCCATGTTAAAGAGTCTAGCATCGTGCCTGGAAGACAGAAACATACAAGTAATAGCTATTGTTGTGATTATTACCTCTTTTTTTCTTTCTTCCAGGGCCAGAAATTTTTGATACCATTTCTCGTGCTGCTGAACTTCCTCCTGCGTTCTTCCAGAAAGGTTTTCTAGAACTTCTCCCATGAACGTTGGCCTCCCTTTATGTTTGTTTCTCACCTTCACAAAGTTCTGGTGGTCATAGTCATCCCAGCCCCCTTGTCGCCCTCCTGTTTGCTGAAGGAATTTTTCGAAATCTACCACTTCTTCTGGAAGAGTGCTCAGCACTTCTCTGTCTACAGGAAGCTTGCCTGACATGGCTCTGAAAGCTGCCTCTGCTCCTGAGTTACCCAAAGCCCACATGTCGATTTTTCTTGATATGGCACTCAACTCATTATTGGTGGTTTTCTCTTCTTTAAGAAGCTCTTCATATCTGAAATTTTAAAGGTAAACTTTGAATAATAAGATACAAACCAATCCATATCGACCTTGCCTTTTTTCCCCTCAAATTTCATTATTCCTGACTCTTTATGTGTCATCTTCTCGACTTAAAATTATTAACATTATAAATCTAAGCCTTAAAAGAGTTTCCTCAGAGGGGAAAAAAACCATCTTTCAAATTCTTATTTGGGTTTTCTATCTTGTCCAAATATAAGTGAAAATTCACTTGAAACATGAAAAGCAATCTGAAACCTAAAACAAAAGAAGAGAGGTGCTATATTGCTCTTGTGTAAGACTAATATTAAATACAGAACAATAAAATGGCTTGTGTACAACAACCTAGTGGAGAGGTAACGAAAAATAAAGGTCAATAATTTTATATCAAAATGAATTTAAAACATACATCAACCTCTGCTCTTCCTTAAAAGTGTTAATCGCATTTTCAATTTCTTCCATCATTTCTCTGAGCTTTTCAACAACTGTAAAAAAAAATAACACGGAAAGACGGTTATGTCGTATTTTAGTAGGACTAAGAATAAAATGTTAGGAGAAAATGGAATGTTGCCTTAATTTATCAACATTTCTTAACCTAAAGGATAAGACAGTTGTGCTTTTAAAAAGCTACTGTTTATGACTGCAGTTTTTTTCTGATTATAGATTTATTCCTGTGCACACGTATTATTAAACCATACTATCATTATTTTTCCCACAGAAATGTTTTATACTACACATACTGCCTTGTGACAAGCAGTTTTCATTTAACAAAATATGGTTAAATACATGTGGTTAAGTTTCCATGTCAATATACGTATGTCCCTCCCTCATTTTTTTCATGGCTTCATGGTATTTCTTTCTTTCTTTTTTTTAAACATTGTATTTATTTATTTGACAGAGAGAGACATGGCAAGAGAGGGAACACAAGCAGGGGGAGAGGGAGAGGGAGAAGCAGGCTTCCCGTGGAGCAGGGAGCCCGATGCAGGGCTCGATCCGAGGACCCTGGGATCAAGCGGCTGAAGGCAGACGCTTAACGACTGAGCCTCCCAGGCACCCCATGGCTTCATGGTATTTCATTGTCTACATTTACCCTAAGTCATTTCATTAATTCTCCAAGTGATGAACCTTTCAGTGGTAAATACTTTTGTATTTGTGTAGCGATTTTGCATGCTCAAGTGTTTTTAGACAATAATTGAAAAATTTGAATGCCAAATCAAAAAGTGTATGTGCTTTACAGTATGGTCAACAATGGCACACTGTCCTGACGGTGCTTGGAGGCTCTACTCACTTACGGTTCCTGAGTGTCCCCTTCCCGTGCACCTTGAACCATTTCCAAAATGAGAGGCGAAATGGATCATGACTGATTTCACTGACATTTTTGTGAACATTAATGAGCCTGAGCATTTTTCTCATATGTGTTTTGTATTTCTTTTGCTATAAACGAGCCCCTGATAATCTTTACCCATCTTTCCACTAGGTTATTTCCCTTTGTTGCTCCAATTTGTCGGTACTCTTTATATGTTATGGACATTAGTTTTTTAAGTTATATATGTACTGCTGATATTTTCCTAATTTGTTTGTCAACTTTATGTTTTTGGGTTTTTTTGTGTGTGTGTGAAGTAGTCAATTATGTCTACTTTTGGCTCTATGGCTTCTGATTGTCATTCTTATAAACTAGAATACAATTATAAAAATATGAACTCATGTTCTTTTCTAGGATATTTATGGCTTCATGTATTAATTTAATAAATAATAATTAGGATAGTCATAGTTACCATTTTTTAGTGCTTCCTAGGTTATAAACATCAGACAGGGGCTTTATACGCATCGTCTCACTTCATCTCCCCAAGAATCCTGAGGGAGGTCCTATGATTATCTCCATTTTACAGCTACGGAAATAAAAGCTCAGAGAGATCAAGTAATTTGCCCAAAATCACATAACTAATAAGTGATTTGATCCTTCAGGAATGAATGTTGGTGTGCGCAGGGAGGTAAGGATGCCATTTCCTTTTTTTCCAAATGGCTAGCATTTGCCCCAGTACTATTAACCTTTTCCTTATGTATTCAAAATGCATTTATTTGAAAGGCGATTATTTCAAAAAGCAAATGCTGGGAAAAGCACAAGGCTACGAATCAGGAAATTCCCTCTTTTCTTCTTCATTAGCTGAATCTGAACTCCTCCAAACCAGAGGTTCCATCCTGTACATGACACTATTTTCTGGTCAATCAACTTCATAATTTGTGAGGATGTGATAGCATTTTAAAGGTAAAGCAACGACATAAACACCACCTGTCACAGTTAATTATTAATGTATCTTTCCTGATCCCTAACCAATACATTATGGCCTGGCTCCATTAAGGCCAAAGGAAAACAAGCACTTATTAGGAGAGTATATAAATATTTCTAATGAGCAATAGCAAATACTAATACATAAGACAGAACAGAAATCTAAATTCACTCACAATCAGGTGTAGGCTTCACATCTTTTAACTGGTGCTGAAGTTTCTTTACATTGTTATGTATTTTGGCCAATTGTTGCTGGATTTTTGCTCCTACAAGGAAGAAGTATGTACTTTTAAATAACTCTATGACAAAGGTGGTTACAACTCAGGGTTCTACACGTAAGACTGATCACTATCACTTAGTAAAAGATAGCCAAGAGCAATTAAATAAAGCACAAAAGATGGTCAAAAAAAATCACAAAAGATATTTGTGTCAAAACAGCCTGAACATTTTAAGTAACCTCGCTTAACTAAAGCATCTCCCAGTTTCCTCCGATATTTAAAAGCACAATGGGTTAAGTCTTACTATAAAAGGAAATTTTCATCTTTCTCTCTCTCTCCATTTTTGAACTCTTTGGAGATTGAATGATTGTACACTGTTCTAAATACATGGAACAGGAGCTCAGATGTAGTCATGTTTTATTCTTAAAAAGTTTTTTTTCTTTTTGTTATAATTTATGGAAACAGAATTTGATCTCTACTGTTGGAATATTAAAACTGTCTACCCAATATTAATTCTATGCATACTGACAAACTTCCTGATGAGAATTAATGTCATCTAACCACATCCTCCATGACAGGGGTCGGTGAGACCCACTGGTGTCACGGTCATGGCCTTGAGGAGGTGCCCAGCTGCCATGCAGTGGTACCTATATGCTACAGGTTGCCAAGCTCAACCAACGGTCTAGCCTGAAGTAACACGCTAGGCCCACAGTAAGAGCCAGATGAAGGTCTCAAAGACATTTGCAGATGTTCTGTATCAGCAGCAGAAAGACCAGATTCTTCTCTATTTTCTTTCTGAAGTAATAACCTTACTTTAATGTTTATTTAAATTATTAAGCTAGTATCATATATTCATATATATTCATATGATAATATTATTTTATCATTTTTGGGTACTTTATGTGCCCCCTCTTCCTTTATTGCAACTTTTCCACAAATAAGCATGAAGTACCAAACAGCTGTCCCAAAGTCCTTAAAACCAATTAATTTTTTAAAAGATTTTATTTATTTATTTATCTATCAGAGAGAGAGAGAGAGAGAGCGAGAGCACAAGCAGGGGGAGTGGGAGAGGGAGAAGCAGGCTTCCCACTGAGCAGGGAGTCCGATGCGGGGCTCGATCCCAGGACCCTGGGATCATGACCTGAGTCGAAGGCAGATGCTTAACTACTGAGCCACCCAGGCGCCCCTTAAAACCAATTATTTTTTTTAAGTTTACCTATAGGCCCAGAGCCAGTGCTAATATCCAAAACAAACCTCACACATGTATATGTGACTTTGGTTTGTTCTATCTTTTCTTAAAAGTAATTTATTTATTTATTTAAGTAATCTCTACACCCAACGTGGGGCTTGAACTCACAGCCCTGAGATCAAGAGTCACATGCTCTTCATACTGAGCCAGCCAGATGCCCCAGGATTTGTTCTACTTTCTATTAAAATTCAAGAGTTCCATAAAAGCAGAAACATGTCCAGTGTACTTTATAGGATTTCATTCATTCACTGTTGGAAATGTAGGTTGGGCAACTTCTCTAGAGAAGCGTACTAAGTAGGAAACAGTTCTGTTATTTTGTTTTTGTCACAGTTTGATCAACTACAGTGATACTGCGATAGGGCAAATGATCCCTTAATTATTCATTTGGAACTGACAGTATGTATGGGCCAACCTTTAAATACAGTATTACACAAACACAGGCCAAAACTGTGGTGTGATATTGAGGCAAGGAAAAGGTATTTACTACTTCTAAGTTGTAATATGGCAAGAAGAAACGTCTATAAACTTATACTGGGACAGTGCATTCCTTCCTCTCCCAGATAAGATGAACACAAAGTGTGACTAAAGAGAGGCGAAACTGTACAATAATGGGAAATGAAAAGACAGAAATAAAGTTGCCTTACAAAAGGGAATGCACAGAAGGGAGACACTGCGATAATGGCATGGTCAGAGATAGAAAGATCAGTCTTGGGGCGCCTGGGTGGCTCAGTCGGTTAAGGGTCTGACTCTTGGTTTTGGCTCAGCGGAGAGTCCGCTTGAGATTCTTTGTCTTCCTCCTCCCCTCCCCCTGTTCACACTCTTGCTCTCTCTCTAAAATAAATAAATGAACAAATAAAATCTTTAAAAAAAAAGATTAGTTTCTTAGTCATCTATTAAAGAACTGAGAGAAAGTAAAAAATATTAAACTAGGGATGTTCAGATGTCTCCATAAATCAAAGAGGAGAACTGGACATTTGGTAATTATATTAGGTCCTGCTGTCATCCCAAGAGAAGAGGAAGAATGATTCTTGCCACTACCTGACAGAAGATGACTTTTTACAATACTACAGTTGTATATTCTGAAAGAAAACATTTATTAAGAATTTCTTTTAACTGACTATAAAGGAGTAGAGGTAGCGCAATTTTTATATAAGTCTTAATGGTTCATAAGGCTTAGCTGATAACCATTATTTTTCCTTTATGTAATGCTAAGCAGTTTTTTTTTATTCTAACATAAAAATTTTGCAACATATAAAATCTACAACAAAACAAGACATTTTTATAGAATCCTTTTCTTAAGCGCAACATTTAGTACACTGTTAACAATGATGAATATTTGTAACAAACAACATATTCATTGTGCACTTTACACGGTACTTTCGCATATAGTACCTCACTGGATGCACAGACCGCTCCCCTGAGGCGGAAATGGTAGGTTTTCTATCACAGACAAGTGAACTCAGGTTTGAGCAGCTGTGTAACTTCCCCACTTCCTACCACTACGAAATCTAGCTTCTGCATCCACTGATGTTGACCTATTCAGTCAACAATACCAGGGTGATGAGCTAAGACTAGAAAGCCCAGGAACCGATTTCCCTTCATTTTAAGAAATTTTAATAGCATTAATTGGTTTGGCAACCAAAAAACAAAACCATCTTTTTCCTCTTAAAGACAAAGAAATGTACATAGAAAACAATCCAGTTCGAATGACCAAATAGTGACCTGAAAAAAGAGATACAAATCCCTAAAAGACAGACTTATTACCAACTAGAAAGTATTTTGATGGAGAATATAACAGTCAAAGCACAAAGACAAAGCAAAACAACTACAACTTGATGTCACTCAACAGTTTGTAGCTCATCATGAACTCAACTTACTTTCTGTTTTCCTGCTGTTAATCAATTTATTTTCCAATTCTTCCAGCATACTATGCTCACTTCTGAAGTCACTTTTTTGGTTGTAGAAATGACTGTGTTTATCTTTTTCTATGTTAATAACTCTTTAGGAAAAGAAACAAATGGCATAAATGTGATTTAAATATATTTTTAATTGTTTAAAATATGAAGACACTCATTATAATCAGTACTTATGGATGCATTAATTCATCTAAGGAGCCCAAATATAATTACTAGAATTAATAAGGCTAAGGAGTCAAAGTAGTAGTTAGAAAAGAGTCAAGTTCAACTATAATCATGAGTAATTTGAATTGCTGGTTAAATTACAAAATGTGAGTTTCAGAAAAGGCAGTCATGCACTGGCTTTGAAAATACAATAGCAATTTGGCTCTTGATTCCAACTCAATCTTATTGTGGCCTCAAAGCGGCCACCATTGCTGATGGCTGCTTTCAACAGGAGATACAGTTAGCTTTGTAAACGGAGCCAAGACCTTTCACCTCTCCTGCGGTGAACCTCCTCCTCACAAAAATGTGAATAATGGCAGCTCTCTACTACCTAAGCAGGGCTGTGATTAAATTATATAAGGGCACACCTCCATGCAGTAAATACGTACTATGGAAATGCGTTATTAATATAATTAATAAAACTAAAATTTCAAGAAGCAAACGATCTACATAGACAGGAATTTTGGTATAATTAGAGATATTGTCTACAAGGACTTCAAAGCTTCTTCTGTGTCCTCTTTGCTCCTTGGATCTAGTCCATCTACCAGTAAGGAGTTCTAATGTTAGCTTGAACCCTGGGGTAAGACAAAACAGATACCAGCAAGAAGAGTTTCTGGTTGGACAAAGAAATTTATTTTCTTTTTCCAGAAATCAACACAAATTCTTCTCCAGGAATCCTGGATTTAATGAATGATGGAATGTCTCGGGCCATTGACTTAATTTCATACAACCTGAGGGGTAACTATCTAAGAGTTTCCCAATATTTTCCAATTTGCCATCCATAAAAAAAAAAAAAGTCAGTATTTATAAAGTTCAGTGGGGTAAACAGATGGGACTGCCATGGGCCCTACCTGGCTGCCTCAAAGGCTGAGAAGATCATACTGTAGTATGTGGGCTTGGGAGAGGAAGCAAAGGGTAGGACAGAGCTGTCAAATAGATCTCAGTCTACATGTCAAGTCTTAAGGACTGAGCATGGCTACTTGAGTCCTGTACTGAGGACTGGGAAGACCATCCAGGCTCTGGTTGCAGGTGAGGGAAATTATAGGATCAGACAGAAATGTCTACATGTACAGGGGATACGCTAGGACAGTAAGTTATGCTTTGTGATCCCTGGATTAGAAACAGTCACCTGTAAAGACATTCAATATGTACTAATGGAGACAAACAGCTAAACACAGGAAAAGATGCTCAACCTCACTCATAATAGGAGAAATGCAAAGTAAAACTAGACCACAGTAACATCGTACACCTATCAGACTGGCAAAAATCACAAGTGTAAATACATATTCTGTTGACAAAACTGTGGGGAAATAGGTCCTCACACATTACTCGTGGAATTGCAAATTGCCTGTGGAGCGCTGTTTGGCAATATTTATTACATCTGCAAACCCATATGCCTTTGACTGAGCATTTCTACTCTAGGAATTTTTCCTAAAGATGCACTAACACATACACAAAATGATGTGGACCTACGTAGATACTGTGATTCGTTATGGCCAAAGATTGACTGTAACCTAAATGTCCATCAGCATGGGGCAGGTTACATAAATTACGGTGCATTCATGCCCTGGGATACAGCGAAGCAGTATCAGGTTCTGTGTGCTGATAGGGAAAGAGCTCCCGAGATACACTCTTCTTCTAACAAAGGTTTTATATGAAAATGTTAGACACACAACCAAAAGTAGAGAGTGATCTAATGACTCCCCTTACGTATCCTCACACCACTCTTATTTGACAATTTGACCTCTCTTGGTTTACCTAGCTCTTTTCCTTATTTTAATCTCTCTTTCTCTCTCCCTTTTACTAAAGCATTCTAAAGTAAATCCACTACATTATATAATTTCACCCCAGCATACTTGATTGTGCATCTCTGGAGATTATGGATACTCAACTATAACACCATGATCCTGTCTAACAAAATCAACAATTCCTTGGTATACTCTTAAGTTAAAAATAAAACAAAACAAAGCAAGATGCACAGTAGTGTGTACAGTATGCTCCCATTTATATAAAAAGGGAAAAATCTGAATATGTATTTTTCTTTCCTCCTAAGCATATAAAAATCCTGTGGAAGGATACATAAGAAACTAAAAATAGTGGCTATCTGAAGGGAAGAGAAGTGGGTGGCGGGGGCCCGGGGTAAAACAGAGACTTTCCACTGTGTACCCCTCAATGTGTGTTGATTTTTGAACCATGTGAATATATTATTACCTATGCTGAAAACAAAACAGAATTATATTCTGAACTGTGTTTGTTTTTTTGTATTCAATGAAAATTGTTGGCCAGAGACACTCTATTAACGGCTTTTTCTAATACTCTTTCCATGAGTTTTTCCAAAATTTTATAACAAGATGAAGAAAGCCTAATCAGAGCTGTAAAACCAACATATACTGGTAAAGAAAGTCTCTACACTGCCATAATCTACTGGTTTGCTATAGACATGGCCATTAACCACTTGGCCGATTACCCATCTAGGGACAAACATAAGACAGACCCCTAACCTACAGTCCAGTCCTACCTAAAGTCATGCATTTTTGAAATAAAAAATAAAATAAAATTGTATTTTCACAAATTCTGAGTATTAAAAATATAAGTATTGTATCAATGCGGAGAGCATTCAATCTCCCAAAGCTACGGTATGGTATAACATTTCACAATTTAAACAGTATACTTTTTTGTTGGCAGAATTTCTAAACAGAACTGCCACTAATCCCGGGCCTGAGACCATTCCTTACAACAGGCTCCATTTCTCCTGATTTCTTTAGCAAATTGATATTGTACAAATTCAAGGCAATGTTTGTAAAAAGCTCTCAGCTGCAGGGTAGGGTTGGGTGGTACGAGTTCTAATGCTTTTGATCATCCTGCACAATATTTATCATATCATGGCGCTGCTGACAATACTGAACATTCAACAGATATCACTGGCTATTAAAAGAAAAAAAATACACATACACTAAAAGTTAAAATAAATGGCAACTTCTCAGTTACTCTAGTCATGATGTGCAAGACAGATCTGAAAGGGGAGACCAAGGGAGGGAGATCAATTAAAAGGCCATTTCAAGAAAAATAACTTGAGGATACAGACTCTTCATTAAAACTATTGACTCCCTCAAAAACAGTTACCAAGTGCTTACGTTGGGCAATGAAAATGTACTGATGTATGCGATCTAAAGAAATAACTGTTTTGTTTCCCTTCAAACACACTGATTCAAAATAATATGTGAAAATAACTCTACTTAAACCTTTATATTAAATAGTCTGTTATCATTTGTCTTTTTCATATCCCTGCCTTTCTCATTCATCTCTGGAAAGCCAGTGACTAGAATTTTGTAACTTAATGTGGGACTGGAGAGGGTAGAGTAGAATTAACTTCATACTGTCCACAAAAACACAGCTAGTAATGTTAATTGAAGATAAGGTTCTTATACTTACTGATTTTTTAATTTTTCTGCTGTGCGTATGAACTCTGCTTTCTTTGTCCGACTAACTTTCTGCTTCCAGTTTTGAAGCTGAAAAGGACGAATTCCACCTGAACTACCGAAACAGCTATCATTCTACACAGAGAACAAAAACAAATTTACCATGAATAAAAAAAATGGCAAGAGATGAAGGCAGATTTTTTTTCAGAGAGAAAGCATCAGTAATAATAATGAAGTCTCTTGGGGGATAATCTGGGGGCCCGTCTTATGTAATTTTTAAAAATATATTTGTGGAAGAAGGAATATCTACCTTAAAATGCTAAATTAAGAAATATTAAGTCTCGGGATTTTCACAAAAAGATCTAATTCTTTCAGTCATTTAGCAATATGCATCGGAACACTTACGACATGACATGTGGTGCGCTAGACACACCACAGAAACAGTGATGACCCACATCAATATGGCCCCGGGGCTGAAAGTCTGGTGAGGGAAACAGATTTACAAAGAAAAGGGTAAACAAACAATAAATTAAAAAAACACCAACTGCAATAAGTGCTACTTAAGAAATAAACAGGACTGGGATGGAGATAATGGGTTAAAGGACTGTTTTTTTCAGTAAGAATGGCCACAGAGGTTCTATTGGGATGACGCTTAAGGAAGACTGGAGCCAGCCATGTCAAAAATAGTAGGGGACGGGGTCCCAGGCAGAAGGCGCAGCATGTGCAAAAGTCGCAGGGCAGGAAAGACCTTGGCTGGTTCAAGCAGAGAGAGAGCTAAGGTGACATGATGTTAGTAAAGGTGGGGAGCTTGGTAGGAGATGAAGGTAAGACAGGCAGGTATGTGGCCTATCACATTGGCATTTTAAGTCACTTAGGGGGTCTGGATTTTACTCAAGAGTTTTGAGCAGGAGAATACCATGACACATGTAATTTTCTAAGAAACTCTTTCTGGCCATTTTTGGAGAATAAATTGGTGGGAAGTGGGGGAAGAGGTAAAGCAGGACTGGAAGCAGAAGGATCAAGGAAGTAGCTGGTACAGATGAGGAATGATGGTGTCTAGGACCACTGGGGTGGCGCGGATAGAAAAAGAAGGATCTCTGGGTCCTGGGATTGAGTCCCACGTCTGGCTCCACGCTCAGTGCAGAATCTGCTTGTCCCTCTCCCTCCCCTTCTGCTCCTCCCCGTTCTCTCTCTCTCTCTCAAATAAATGAAATCTTAAAAAAAAAAATGAAGTAAGACTAAATAGATTTTGCATCTATAACCAAGAGGAATTGCTGACAGATTGATGTAGATGAGAGAGAAAGGAAACAAGGCTTTACATTTCTAGGCGCAAGCTAAAAAAAAAAAAAGTAATGAATTCAGGAAATATTTTTTTCACTGAGATACAATTCACATTACCATATAGTATATCCATCTAAAGTGTACAATTCAATGGTTTTTAAGATAGTCACAAATGTGTGCAAAATCACTACTAATTCTGGAAAATTTCCATCATACCAAAAAGAAATCCCATACCCATCATACTTCCACCCCTCTTCCCTACAAGCCTCTGGCAACCATTTAATATTATTTTTGACTCCATGGATTTGCCTGTTCTGGACAATTAATATAAATGGGATCACACAATGTGTAACCCTTTGTGTCTGGCTTCTTTCACTTAGCATAATGTTTTCAATATTCATCTGTATTGTACCATAAATCTGTACTTCATTTCTTTTTATATCTGAATAATATTCTATTGTATGGATCTACTGTATTTGGTTTATCCATTCATCAGTTGATGGACAATGGGCTATTTGCACTATTTGGCCAATATGAATAATGCTACTATGAACATTTGTGTACAAGTTTTAGTATGAATATGCTTTCTCTTGAGCATACAACTCACAGTGGAATTTTTGGATCATAAGGTTAATTCTATGTTTTATTTTCTCATTTTAAAAATTGGGTTGTTGGGGAGCCTGGGTGGCTCAGTTGGTTAAGCGTCTGCCTTTGGCTCAGGTCATGATCCCAGGGTCATGGGATCGAGCCCCACATCAGGCTCCCTGCTCAGCACTCTCCCAGCTCATGCACTCTCTCTCTCTCTCTCAAGTAAATAAAATCTTTAAAAAATAAAAATAAAAAAATAAAAATCGGGTTGTCTTTTTGTTGAGTTGGAAGCATTCTTTATATATTGGGGATATAACTCCCTTATCAGATAAAAGACCTGCAAATATTCCCAATTTCCCTGAGCTGTCTTTCCATTTTCTTGATAATATCCTTCAAAGCACAAATATTTTCAATTTTGATAAAGCCCAATTTATCCATTTTATCTTTGGCGGCTTGTGCATTAGCTATCCTACAGAAGAAACATTCAAAGGTCATGAAGACTCACATCTACATTTCTTCTAAGAATTTTATAGTTTTATCTCTTACATTTAGGTCTCCATCCATTTAGGGTTAATGTTTATATATGGTGTGTGGCAGGAGTCCAACTTCACCGTTTTGTATGTACATACCCAGTTATTCCAACGTCACCTGTTGAAAAGAATCTTCTTTCCTTATTGAATTGGCACTCTTGTTGAAAATCAACTGCCCATAAACATAGGGTTTACCTCTTAACTCTCATTGATCTGTATGTCTATCCTTATGCCAGTATCACACAGTTGATTACTATAGCTTTGTAGTAAGTTTTGAAATCAGGAAGTATGAGTCCTCCAACATTGTTCTTCAAGATTGTTTCGGCTATTTTGGGACCCTTGCATTTCCCATATGAATTTTAGGATCAGTTTATCAATGTATGCACAAAAAGACAACTTAGATTTTCACATGGATTTTAACTCTGTAAATCAATCTGGGGAGTAGTGCCATCTTAACTCTTCATATTCATAAACCTAAAATATCCAATGATGTAAGTCTTCTTTCCTTTCTTTCAATGATGGAATTTTTAGAGTATAAGCTTTGTACTTCTTTTGTTAAATTCATTCCTATGCACTTTATTCTTGTGATAATACTTTGGAATTTTTAGAGTATAAGCTTTGTACTTCTTTTGTTAAATTCATTCCTATGTACTTTATTCTTGTGATAATACTTTGGAATTTTTAGAGTATAAGCTTTGTACTTCTTTTGTTAAATTCATTCCTATGTACTTTATTCTTGTGATACTCTGTAAACAGAATTATTTTCTTAATTCCATTTTTGAATTGTCCATTGCTAGTATATAGAATTAAAACTGATTTTTATCAATTGCTTTTTTATCCTTCAATCTTGCTGAATTTATTTGCTCTAGTAGTTTCTACATGGATCCTTTAAATTTTTTATATACAAATCATGCCACCTGCAAATAAGAAAGTTTTACTTCTTTTCCAATTTGTTTCTCTTGCCTAATTGCCTTTGCTAGAATCTCCAGTGAATAAGTGGTGAGAATGGACATTCTTGTCTTGTTCCTTATCTTATATGGGAAGCTTTTTAAAAAAATTTTTATTATTTATTTATTTATTATTAATTTTTTTATTTTGAGAGTGAGAGAGCACACAAGCAGGGAGGAGGGTCAGAGAGAGAGGGAGAAGCAGATTCTCCACTGAGCAGGGAGCCCGACACGGGGCTCGATCCCAGGATCCTGAGATCATGACCTGAGCCAAAGGCAGACGCTTAACTGACTGAGCCACCCAGGTGCCCCTGTGGAAAGATTTTAATCCTTTGTCATTAAGTCAGCTGTGGGCATTTTATAGATGCCTGTATCAGAATGAGGAGTTCCCTTATATTGTTAGTTTGTTGAATGTTTTTTTTTTAATCAGGAAAAGGTGTTGCATCTTGTAAATTGCTCTTTCTACATCTATTGAGATGATCGTGTAGTTTGTCCTTTATTCTATAAATAAGTTGTATTACATTGATAGATTTTCATGTGCTGAACTAACCTTGCATGTCTGGAACAAATCCCAACTGATCATGGTATGTAATCCTTTTCATATGTTGTTAGATTTGGGTTGCTAGTATTTTGTTGGGAAATTTGCATCTATATTCATAAGAAATACTAGTTTGTTATTTTCTTTCTTGTGATTTCTTTGTCTGATTGTGCTATCAGGGTAAAAATAATGAGTTGAAAAATGTTGAATGAGTTGAAAAATGTTCCCTCCTCTATATTCTGAAAAAAGTCTGTTATGAAACAAAAAAATACATTTATACTGACTTCTATATTTACCTCCCCGTTTACTTACCAGTACTCTTTATTCATCCTCGTCATGTGGATTTGAATTTTTATGCAGTGTTTTTATTTCAGTTTAAAGGACTTCCTTTAATATTTCTTGTAAGGCATATATGCTGGCATATGCTAGTGTTTGTCTGGAAATGTCTTAATTTTTCCATTTTTAAGCAATAATTTTGGTGAACATAGAATTCTTGGTTGACAGTCCTTTTCTTTCAGCACTTTCACTATGTCATCCCACTGCCTTCTGGATTCCAAGGTTTCTGATGAGAGGTCCGCTGTTAATCTTATTGAAGCTTCCTTGTATGTGCCGAATTGCTTCTCTTTTGGTGCTTTCAAGTTTTTTGTTTTTGTCTTCCAACAGTTTGATTATGAAGTGTCCAGGTATGACCTCTTGAGTTTACTCTACTTGGAGTTCATCAAGCTCTAACAATATGTAGATTAATATTTTTCATCAAACTTGGGAAGTTTTCAGGGCAGCTGGGTCGTTCAGTCGGTTAAGCCTCTGACTCTCAATCTCAGCTCAGGTCTTGATCTCAGGGTCGTCCTGAGTTCAAGCCCCACATTGGGCTCCACACTGGCTGTGGAGCCTACTTAAAAAAAAAATTAGGGATGTTTTCAGCCATTATTTCTTCTAATATTCTGCCCCTCCCCATTTCTCTTTCCTCTCCTTCTGAGACTCTCAGTATGTATGACCTTCATGATGTCTCACAGGACTCTGAGGCTCTGTTCATTTTTTTTTTCTTTCTGTTCCTCAGTGTGGATAATCTGAATTGGCCTATCTTCAAGTTTCCTTGAATCTTGAAGCTCAAATCAGATGCTGAGGCCCTCTAATGAACTTTTCATTTGAGTTCTTGTACTTTTTAACTCCAGAATTTCTATTTGATTTTTTAAAACAATTTTAATCTCCTTATAGGTATTTTTAATTTGGTGAGAAACCATCCTCATGCTTTCTTTCAGTTCTGTAGCCATGGTTTCCTTTAGTTTTTTGAATGAATTTAAAACAGCTTATTTAAAGTTTTTGTCTATTATTTCCAACATCTAGTCTTCTTTTGAGATAGCTTTAAAAAAAAAAATTCTCTTGTGTGTGAACCATACTTCCATGGTTTTTTGCATGTCTCTTTTTTTTTTTTGGTTAAAAACTTGATGTTAAAAACTATAATTTTGTTAATATAATTGAATATTATATTGCTATATAATTATTACTATATTATATTATAAATATAACAATTATATTAAGAAAATATAATTTAACTCTGAAACTGAGATTCTCTTCCAACCCCAAGCTTTGTTGTTGTTGCCGTTTGTTTAGTCAACTTCCTACACTGATTCTGCAAAGTCTATATTCTTTGTCTGTGTGGCACTGAAACCTCTGCTTGGTTAGCTCAGTTGTCACCTAATGGTTGACTGGTCAGAGGTCTTCCTAGCTTCTGTGAACCAATACATCTCCCAGCCCTTGCTGAGGGGGTCTGTGTGCATACCAGGACATGAAGCTTCGACATGGAGGCAGGCAGTTTTACAAGTCAACCTCAACCTTCGTCACTTGCGGAGCTTCAAGGCCAGCCAAAGATGAAGGCTTAGGTCTTTCTCGGATCCTCCCTGGTGTACTGGTTTCCTACGGCTACTGCAACAACTTACTACAGGTTAGTTTAATACAACCTTGATGGCTTAAGCAACACAAATTTATTCTCTTACAGTTCTGGAGGCCCAGTTACAATTAAGGTGTTGGCAGGTTTGTGCTCCTTCTGGAGACTTCAGAGGAGAATCTACTTCCATACTTTTTTTCAGCTCTTAGAAGCCACCTTCATCCTTGGCTCGTGCCCCTTCTTCACATCACTGCATCCTCTTGCTTCCGTTGTCACATCTCCTACCACCGGCTCTGATCCTTCTGCCTTCCTCTTATAAGGACCTTTGTGAATACATTAGGCTCACACAGATAATCCAGGATAATCTCCTCGTGTTAAGATACCTAATTCAATCACATCTGCAAAGTCCCTTTTACCATGCAAGGTCACAGGGTCACAGTACTGGGGATTAGAATGTGAATATGCTTGAGGGGCCATTATTCAGCCTACCACACCTAAACATGGACATAACCCTATGCATGTGTGTGATCTTCTAGAGGAAATTCCTTGTGAGTAATCATGTCAAGTCGGAGAAAGAATGTAGTTATTACTGAAGGACTACTCCAAGCAGCCAAGGGCCGTAACATTTAGGCCATCAGAGGGAAGTTCACCTAACAAACAAAACAAAACAGAAGACACTGCCCTATCATGGTTTAAAGCAGGGCCATACATTAGTGTGACACTGTTAGAAATACCTTTAAAAACTCATAATTCAAGTATTAAAATGATTAAGAGGGAAATGGCATTTGAGAGGAAGGTAGAGAGATTTGTGGTCTTCAGTCTTGAAAGGCAATAGTGAGGGGGATTATCAACAAATAATATACTTGGAGCGCCTGGGTGGCTCAGTCATTTAAGCATCTGCCTTCAGCTCAGGTCATGATCCCAGGGTCCTGGGATTGAGCCCCGCATCGGGCTCCCTGCTCAGCGGGAAGCCTGCTTCTCCCTCTCCTCCCCGCTCGTGCTCTCTCTCTATCTCTGTCTCTTTCTCAAATAAATAAATAAATCTTAAAAAGAAAACACAACACAACAAACCAAGTAATATGCAAATATTAGAAAGGACAGACAGGGCATGGTATTACTTTTCAATATGGGTAAGAAATTTATAGGGTTCCACACCCTAAGGAGGTTGTAGAATAAAATAAAGTATAAAATGTTTCTAAAACCTCAAAGATAATTTCTCCAAAATAACTTAAAAGAACTGTTACAGACTAATTTATGTCCCCCCGCATTCATACATTGAGGCCCTAACCCCACTTTGTGACTATATTTGGAGATAGGGCCTTTGAGAAAGTAATAAAGGTAAATGAGGTCATATGGGTGAGGTCCTATTCCACCAGGACTAGTGTCCTTGTAAGAGGAGGCGACATCGGTGATCTCTCTCTCTCTCTCTACGCGTGCACAGAGGAAAGGCCACCTGAGGACACATGAGAAGGCAGCTATCTACACGCCAAGGAGAGACCTTACACCACCAAACAATCCTGGCAGCACCTTGATCTTGGACTTCAGCCTCCAAAACTGTGAGAAAATTAACTTCTATTGTGTAAGCCACCCAGTCTGTGGTATTTTGTTATGGATACCCTAACAGACATACAGGACTTTCAAGTACTTTAGTGAACATCTCTTACATCATGAGGTTGTCATCAGGAAAATCTCTCCTCAAGAAAACATTAGTTGGTTTCACTATTAGAGTCAGTGGGAATATTCATTCACTTAATCATATGACAAATATTCAAGTTCAACGGTAGGCTGAGAATTTGAGTGTGTAGGTATGTGTGTGGTATACTGAGGGAAGTCCAAAGATGGATAACATATACTTAAAATCCTCAAAAGCCTCAATATGGTACAGCTGTGATCCTAATTCCTTGTTTAAAGTCCAAACACCCTCGAGAGTCTACTCTGTTACTGTTGTCGTCATCAACTATGAGGCTCTGCCTTCCCTAAAATGATGAGAGCGCAGAAAGCAGGGTGTCTCAACCTCAACACTCCTGACGTTTTGGACTAGATAATTTTTTTGTTGTGGGGGGCTGTTCTTCAGCTTCTACTCACTAGATGCTAGTAGCCCACACAACCCATCCCTGCCCCAGTCCTGACAATCAAAAACATCTCCAGACATTGCTAAATGTCGGGAACGGATAAAACATTTGAAACAGCTCCACAGGTGATTTTGGTCCAAGCCCTGGAAAGGCAAACCTCTGAGGATCACCAGAAGGGAGTGATAAAAAGGTTCATCAATAACAATATTATGCAACTTGTGAGGAATGCAAACCAGGAGGCAAAACACGGTTGTAAGAATGTGAACCAGAGTAAGCCAGAAAGGTTTCATGGAGAAAGCCAGAAAGATGGCTAAACCACTAGGATCATACATTAAACAAAATGTTAAAAATTATCTTTAAAATATTTTATGCATTATGTATTTTTATATATTTTACTTTTTCTCCCCCCTGAGACATTTGGGCCAGAGTTAGAATAATAAAGAGAACAGAGGATGTGTGAAAACATTTGCCTGAGGTGGAATTTCCTGAGCTCATACAAGTAAAGACAGAAAAATTCCTATACTCCCTTAGAGGAAGAAAAAGATGGAACCTGTCCTCAGCTCACAACGGCCTTCCTTCAGGTTTGGATTGATCCTCAAATATTTAGCGAGTGCCTACTATGTTCCAGGACTAAACTCAAGAGTGGAACTGGGAACACAATAGTGAATAAGACTTCCAAACGATTCTGCCTTCCTACAGCTTACATTCCCATGGTGGAGGCAGAGGTGTGGAGAAAAATGAAAATATGTAATTGAGCATATAGTAATAAGTGCTATGGAGCAAAATAAAACCAGAAAAGGGAACAGGGCATGCTCAGTAAGGGGATTCAGTTTAGGGAGGTCATGAAAAGAATCACTGAGCTGATGGCATTTGAACAAAGTTAAGTGAAAGAAACACAACTAGCCATAGAACCAGGAGGGAAGAGCATTTCAAGCAAAGGGAATAGCAATTACAAAGCTTATACAGTAGGAGAGAACTAGGCCTGTCTGAGGGTCAACCAGGAGGCGGGTATGGTTGCAGCAGACTTAGAGCAGGGAACTGGAGAAGAGCTAACAGGGAGATGGTGGGTGTAACACGCTCACAGGCCCTGTAGACCATGGTAAGGACATGGGCTTTGGCTATGAGGGTTCTGAGCAGAAGAGTGTCATTATTGGACTGAATCGCCCTGGCTGTTGTGAATACTTTAGGAAGGCAAGAGTGTTAGAACAGAAACCAACTAGAAAAGTATTTCAGCCAGGGAGAAATGATGGCGTGGACAAAGACAGTGGCGCTGGAGGTGTGAAGAGTGGGATTCCTGATTTATTCTGCAGGTAGAACATGGAGGAATTGCCCACTCTTTGGGTGTGGGCTGTGAGACAATGAGAGCAGTGAAGGTCTTGGCTTAAGCCACTGGATCCAACCATTCTTGAGGATCCTGTGGTCCACGCTGCCAGACAAAGGGGTCCGAGGCAGATCTCTGGAAACACATCTGCCTCGGACCACCCCATATTTATTCCTCCTTGTGACCCCAACGCAGGTACAATAACAAAGCAGCAAATTACTGGGCACCGAATCTCTCTCCAACCAAGCACTGTGCCAGGGCCTTCCCAGACATAAGGACCACGGCTCCGTAAGGTGCAGTTACCCGATCCAGTTTTTGCAGAAGGCACTGAGTCGCGGAGAGGATATGTTCTCATCACAAGGCTAAGAAGCGGCAGAGCCCGGGTTTCCACCCAGATCTTTCCTCGATTCCAAAACCACATGGAGGTGGCTCTGGAAGAGCAGTTAAACGCACAAGCCAACAAAGCACAACGCCTGGCGTGGGCCAGGCCGCGAGCAAAGGGAGGCGAACGCCGCACCTCCCGCCTGCGGAACCGCGCAGCAGAGGACACCTGTTCAGCGAGGGCCGGGACCCCGTCCCGCCCCCGGCACCCACATCCCCCTCAGTCAGGCCCACGCCCGCCGCCTGAGAGCCTTCTGGCCCGTCTCGGTTTACCTGTTGCGGCACCTGCGCTGCTCCCACTCCGCTCCCGGTGGCCGCGCCCGCCCCCGCCACAGCCCCGGCTACCGCGGTGGCCGCCGCCGCCACCACGACCGTCGTCAGGGCGGCCATCTTTCCTCGCCAAGCTGCTCGGGCCGCAGCGGCCACCCGGGGCCACGGGGTTCCGGCCGCGAGAGCTCCTGGTCCTGCAGACCGTTCCGGGCACGGTGGAGCTCCGCGGGACGCAGAGCACAGCGGAGCCAAGGCGCAGGGCGGGGCCGAGATATGGGGCGGGGCCGGGGCGCGGGGCGGGGCCGGGGTTCAGGGCGGGGCTCTGCCAAGTTGCCGGACGCCGCGGAGCCGGAGTTCAGGGCGGGCAGGGCGGGGCTCTGCCGGAATGTAGGGCGGGGCCGGGGGACGGGGCGGGGCTCTGCCGGGATGCAAAGCAGGGCCGGAACGCTGGGCGGGACAGGAGCAGGGGCGGGGCCGGGGCTCTGGGCGAGGCGGGAGCGCAGGCGGGGTAGAGATGTGGGGAAGGCTCTGTGTGCAGGGTGGGTCAGGGAGGGGCAGGGCCAAGATGTGGGGCAGGGCCGAAGTGTGGGGCGGGGCTGGGCGGCCCGGAGCACGGGGCGGGGCCGAGATGTGGGGCGGGGCCGGGGTGGAGGAGGGCCGAAGTGCAAGGCGGGCCGAGGGATGGGGCGGGGTCGGGAGACAGAGCGGGGGGCTCTGCCGGGATGCTAGGCAGGGCCAGAGTGCTGGGAGGGGCTGGAGCAAGGAGCGAGTCCGGAGTTCAGGGCGAGGCGGGAGCGCAGGAGGTGTCGAGATGTTGGGCAGGACCTGAGTGCAGGGTGGGTCAGGGAGGGGCGGGGCCAAGACGTGGGGCGGGGCCGGAACGAGCTCTGAGCTGGGCCTGAGCGCGGGCAGGACGGGGCCGGGGCACAGAAAAGGGCGGGGCTGGAGTGCGGGCCGGAGTACAGGCAAGGGCGGAGCCCGCGTGCGGGGCGGGGCGATCGGCCAGAGCCTCACTGCGCTGCTGCGGGTTTGTGTAAACTTTTCCCGTGCACTTGTCTACTTTTATTCAGCAACATCTTTCTAGACCCTCAATCACCTCCGCTACCCTACCCACCTTTTACTGTCAAACTCATTTGTGTCATATATATAGTTCTATAGATACATAGAGCTATTTTACGTAATAGAACTTCTTTTTAGGTTCCTACTAAGCGCTGGTGAAAGCGAGTCTAAGTGAAAAAGCATTTATTTATGGGCTTGAACAGTTAACTATATTTCACACTTTCAAAGAAACGAAACAGGGCATGCCCCACACTGTCAGATACCAGAGGCAGAAATGCCACACTTGGTCAATAAGAAGACAGATTTCAAAGATAACTGTGTCGGGAGGTTGGAAAAAAGCCATAGGTGACTCCTGTAGTTAAAACACAGGCAACCAGTGGCAATTCGCCTGGTTCCCGGGCGCACCGCCTTTTCCTCTTCTAAAGAAATGGATTCATTCATTCACCCTTCGCTCATTCAATCAATACCCCGCTCCTACTAGATGCCAGGCACTGTTCTAGGCCTTTAGAATTCATTGTAGTTAGACATGCGTGCACATGCGCAGACACACACACACACACACAGGTTCCTTCTTTCTAACTTCTAGGGAATTTATTTATTTATTTTTTAAAAGATTTTATTTATTTATTTGACAGAGAGAGACAACACAAGCAGGGGGAGAGAGAGAGGGAGAAGCAGTATTCCCGCAGAGCGGAGAGCCCAATGCGGGGCTCGATCCCAGGACTCTGGGATCATGACCTGAGTCAAAGGCAGACACTTAACAACTGAGCCACCCAGGCACCCCTGACTTCTAGGGAATTTAAACAAGTAAACAAATAGGGTATTTACTGAGCACTTACTGTGTTCCCACTGTTGTAAGTAACCCAGTGAAGTAGGTACTGCAATTATCTCCTTTTCACAGAAGGTACAAACCTAGGCAGCCTGACTCCAGTGACCATCCTGGCAGAGAAGTTGAACAGGCAGCTGGATAAAATGCTTCTGGAGCCCTGAGAGAGACTGGAGCTAAAGATGTGACTTTGGTCTTCATCTGCATGTAGAAAATATTTTATTTTTAAAGATTTATTTATTTATTCGAGAGAGAGAGACAGAGAGAGTACAAGCAAGGGGAGGGGCAGAGGGAGAAGGAGAGAGAACCTGCAGCAGGCTCCCCGCCCTACCTGGGGCTCGATCTCATAACCCCTAGTTCATGACCTGAGCCGAAATCAAGAGTCGGATGCTTAACCGACTGAGCCACCCAGGTGCCCCTGCGTGTAGACAATATTTGACATAACTCCGAATGAGCTCACACAGGCAGAGGATAAATTGAAGTCTGAGAACTGAGTCCTAGGGCCTTGCAACATAGGTGCACAGACAGGGGGAGGAGGAGGAGGAGAAGGAGGAGGAGGAAGACTCAGAAGGAGGGGTCGGGCGCCTGGGTGGCTCAGTTGGTTGAGCGACTGCCTTCGGCTCAGGTCATGATCCTGGAGTCCCGGGATCGAGTCCCGCATCGGGCTCCCTGCTCAGCGGGGAGTCTGCTTCTCCCTCTGACCCTCTTCCCTCTCGTGCTGTCTATCTCTCATTCTCTCTCTCTCAAATAAATAAATAAAATCTTTAAAAAAAAAAAAAAGAAGAAGGAGGGGTCCCAGAGAAGAGAGGAAAACCAGGTCTATGGAAGAAAAAAGTGTTTGGAAGAGAGAATGATCACAGACTTGCTGTGGTCTGCCGCCCAGAGGCTGAGTGAGATGAAAACAGAAATGCTGGTTGGGTTTGGCAACAGGGAAGCCTCGGCCACCCCGGCAAGAGCCCTGGCAGTGGGACGGTGAGGACCAAAGCCTCGCTGAGAGGGCCGAGGAGATATCGAAGGTGAGGAAGAGAAATGACAGGGATTTCCATGGTTCTGCGATACAGGTGATCAGACACATGAGGTGGTCGCTGGAAGATGTGTCAGGTTTCAAGGTGAAGACTAGTGGAGGGTGTCTGTGCCCTGGAGTCCAGGACACAAGGGGAAATGTCCATCTTTGATAGGGGTATGGGTTCTTCTGGACTGGAGAGTTTCAGCACAAGGTCATTGGCAGATGTGGAGACAGAAGATGGGCTCCCTCTCCTCTCTCCACTAAGTAGGAGGAAGTAGGCAGCTTGGGTGTATTGCGAAGGTAAAACCTCTCTATAGACACACATTTTGTCCAAAATGAGGTCTGTTGCTATAGCACCGCCTGAGCTCCTGTAACTGGTAGTCTAGAAACTTCTGGCAGCCTCAGGGGAAATCAGTCCATCAAGAACTTCAGTTCAGGGGTCTCCGCAAGGGGCAACACCAGCATGGATACTCTAAGGGAATGCACGCACAAGCGAGACACCTGCTGTTTCAGACTCTCAGTGATGTATTACGATGGGAAATTCTGAGAAGTGATTAAGAATCTCACCAACAGAAAACCAGAGCAGGCCACTGCAACGAGGTTAGGCAGCTGCCTGGGTCCTCACATCCAGGCCCTTTCAGAGATCAGAGCTACAAAATATATTCGTATTGTATGGTTTCATTTCTTACGTTTTGCACCAATTTTAATTTAATATCAGAGGTTTGCCTTTCCATAACCTCTTTTGTATTTGCATTTCTTTTCTCTTGCACTGAAAATCTTGGCTCCTTACACTATCAACATAGTACTTGTTCGTGTTTTCTTGCAACAATTGCGTGCTTTCAAATTATCGTTCTAATATGTCCACTAACAGTAGACCTACTGAGTGAAATTTTAAAACCATTTTTGTGTTCTTTTTGCCCTTAGACTATGTCCTGCACTAGACAGCCCATCAGAGTATTTACTGTATTTGACAATTTTGTGAGCCACCCAGGTGCCCAAATTTTCCTCTTCTTACAAGCAGTCACTGGATTAGGGTTCATCCCAATCCAGTAGGACCTTACCTTGACTACAACTGCAAAGATCCTATTTCCAAATCAGTTCACATGAGCAGGTACTCGGCGTTAGGACTTCAGCATCTCTTTGAAAGATGCAATTCAACTCATAACACATATTACATATAATCCTCCACACTTTACGTTTTTCACCTAACAATATCTACTGGAACTCAGTTGGTATCAGTTCACAGAAATCTTCCTCATTTTTTTTTTAATGCATCATACTCCATTGTTTTATTCAACCAGTCCTCTACTGATAGATGTATGGGTTATTTACAGTCTTTTGCTGTTAAAAGTAATGATTCATCAGTATTTCACATCAGGGAAGCATATCTTTAGTAGAATTGCTGAGTCAAAAGATGAACGAAAACACAACGCAGGTATTGCTAAATTCCTTTCCATAGAAGTTGTATTATTTTGCACTCCCACTAGCAAAGCCCGAGGATGCCCGTTTCTTTATCACTTTATTTTTTTAACTTTTTGGATTTTTGACAATCAGAATAGGTGGAAAATGATATCTCTCAGTAATTTTAATATGCCTTTTTCTTAGGAGTGAAGGTCAGCCTTTTTTCACAAGTGGAAGGATATCGACTTTCCTTTTCTTTGAACTCTCTATGATGTATTACTCTCCCCATTGGCATTTGGGCTTCTCTTTCCATTTTTAAAGAGCTCTTTATCAATTAGGTGATTCTGATATAATTTTGTGATATAAATGGTAAATATTTTCTTCTAGGTTTTTGTTTTGTGATTTTTGCTTTGAACAAGTTCTTTTTATTTTTATGTAGTCAAATTTGTCAATATTTTAGAATTGTCTTTGACGCTTCTGGATTTATAATCATAGTTGGAAAGGCTTTTCTCACTCCAAGTTTGTAAAGAAATGAATTCTTGTTTTCTTGTGTGGTTTCACTTTTTACATGTAGATATCTAGATTATTTGGATTTCATTTTGATATCCAGTGTGAGATATGGATCCAATTTTGCTTTTTCCCAAATGGCTATCTAGTTATGCCAACAACATTTATTAAAAACAGTATATTTTCACCACTGATTTTTAGGTGTCACTTAACTTTTCACATATAATTGTCCTATTCTGAATTGTCTTTTTTTAAAATTTTTTAAAAGATTTTTATTTATTTATTCATGAGAGACAGAGAGAGAGAGAGGCAGAGGGAGAAGCAGGCTCCCAAGGATCAGGGAGCCCGATGCAGGACTCGATCCCAGGACTCTGGGATCATGACCTGAGGTGAAGGCAGACGCTTAACCATCTGAGCCACCCAGGTGCCCC